ACACAAGTGTAATTGTTGGTTCTTTATTCAACAACCAACTACATAGTGGATTTTGAGGACGTAGAAGGATTACCCCACCTTCGAACCTCGTTAAAGTTTGCGTGTCTCTCTCTTTTATCTTTACTCTTACTTGCAATTATATTAACTGTGAAAACTAACCCATCCATATTGATTACTGCTCATACTACCCACCAAATTCTGCACACAATCTAAAGTTCCCAAGAACTCTAGATTTACACTATTTTCACGTTTTCAAAAGAAACGAAAAAGTTTTAAAATTGTAACAAAGTCTATTCACCCCCCTCTAGACTTTGTATCTCACCACTTTGGGACCACCAATTGGTATCAGAGCCAACTTCTCATAATCTACATTTAGATTAACGAGAAGCGATCATAATGGTGAACAATATGGATAATGGTTTGCCCAAGTTTTTTCTTCTAGGTTTTGATGATTGGAAGATTATGATGGAAGCACACCTTTATGCCCTACATGATTGCATGTGGATGGTGCTTGAGGATGGACCCTTGAAAATCCAAATGGAGAACCCTGAGAGGAATCCAGCCAATCCTGATGTTGTCCAGTACATTCCAAAGCCCAAGGAGAAATAGGATGATAGAGATTGCAAGAAGCACAATCTGGACAACGTCGCCAAAGCAGCCATCTTCAAGACACTTGATCCCATCACCTTCTCCAAGATCAAGCATCTCAAGACTACCATGGAGATTTGGCAAGTTCTTGGGAAGCTGTGTGAGGGATCGGAGGACCTGAGAAAGCAGAAGATAGAAGTCCTGCTTGAAAAGTTCAAAAGCTTCAAAATGCTTCCCGAAGAATCATTCGATATGTTGGATGAAAGATTCCACAAAATCTTAAATGATCTTGCATCACTTAACCACATTCTTTCTCCCAAAGAAAAGAATGTAAGATTACTGAGATCTCTTCAAACTGAGTCATACACCAAAGCCACAACCATGGAAGAAGGAAGAAACCTGGAGAACTACACTGTCCAAGGTCTCCTTGATGAGCTCTGTTGGGAAAAATATTATAGAATTTGATGATGATGTGTTTAGAATGTAATAGGGACGTTAGGTCTCCCCAAATATTCAATGTAATTTTTCTTTTTAGAAATATTGTTAAAACCGAGTTCTTGAGATTTCCAATAAAGTTGTGATATTTCTTTAAGCGGTTTGATGCCTGAAGACTTAATCAAATTCAGTAATTTGGTAATTGGATATCTTGATCGGAAATTCAGAGACAAGTAAGGATTTCTCAAAGCAGACGAAAATCCTCCAATCCGAAAGACTACATAAGAACCGGATGTCTCGCTACAACCCGCTGAAGGCTAAGTCAGAAGACTAGTGCAGATTTCTTTCTCACCCGGAAGACTGAGTATGACTCTTCCGGATTTGTCAGCTAAGAACCGGATGCCTCAAGAAAGACCGGAATTCTCAAAAAGCGGACAAGTGAGAAAAGACTTAGAAAATTATCTAAGCTTGAATGAAGAAATTCTACCCGTTGGTAAGGAAAAATCAATCTCTTGATTTTCAACGGCTAGACTGAAGATAACTATGCTGATTTAAGAACAAATGACTCGAAGACAAAGTCTAGACCTCTAAAAATTGAAGAGCCTGTCCAGAATTCCTAAACAAGCACTAGAAGACAAATAGAGTAAAGTGCTACAGTCCAGAATTCTTGAACAACAGCTAGAAGACGGATTCTGTGGAAAAAGGAATCCCTCCTTAAACAATTGGGTATGTCCAAACACCCATTCCAATGAGGAATCTTCAAATCACAATCTTCATTCAAAATTGAAGCCAGCAAATGCAACGGATAGTCTATTTTGATTCAACGGATAGATTATCCA